AGTGAGTGAGTGAGTGAGTGAGTGAGTGAGTGAGTGAGTGAATGAGTGAGTGAAAGGGAGAACATACCTTGACCTCTAGAGTCCGATAGATGCGCAAATGCGTCTGTCGCCGTCCCAAGTCCTCCTCATTGGCGGCATCCACTCGCGTGTTACAACAGTGCAAACGCACGCACCTTAGCCAGCGCTGAAAAATGGTTTCCATACTAGCCGGAGGTGCGTGTGAACATGGAAATCCGGGAGCAGAGTTCTCTGCTGAGACACTGTTGGATGGGCTGAGACGCGGGCAAGAACCTGAATAGAGCAGACAGTGGAAATAACGAATGCGCCATCTTAAAAGTGTTTCAGGGACCTACGTTAGATGCCTATTTGGTTTTTGGGCCACCGAAAGCGTCTCAGATAAATTCACCCCGGAAACTGGGCTTTCAATGGATGTGTTCACTAGAGGTGAGTCTAAATGCAGAGGTTGGTGTAGTGGACAGATGATTACTGGAAAACAAATGAAAAAGGACACCCTCGCGATGCCCATGTACCACAACCGCGGCTGTGGATGAATTCTCATTTCAAGTGGAAAACGGCCGTAGGAGTAGGCATAATTTGTTTGGAGTTGAGCTACTTATAAGTAGGTCAATTAAAAAAGAAATGCATCCTGTGGGCGGACTGAAATGAGGGGTGCGCAAGACCACAATTGGCTGCGTGCCACAGCCATATCTGTCAGGGTCACAAACCGTTGATTTGTCCCATCTCGCAGTCCCCATCCGGGGAGAAGGCAGTTAGCAACGCGAGTGAACTGACTGGTAAGGGATTTTGTGCCTCGTGGACTGACTACCACCAAGTCGTCTCTATCCAACACAAATCTGGATGAAGAGATCCTTTCGCATACGAAGTACACGGCCTTCGAAAATCTTACCACAAAACTCCGGGAAAGCTGCGCATTCTGACGTCATCTAGACAGAGCAAGTATGATTCTTGTTTAATTCTAACCCGTTATACCCAAAATCCACGCCTGACATACCATGGTCAAAAAATGTTATCACAGTGTCGGGTTGAGACCACGGCAACACTCGGTCTTAAGACATATGGAGATGCTCTGAACCCGATCGACAAGTACGGAGATCTGCTATTCTTGAAACCAATGGAAATAACATGTCCTTAGGAGGAAAGAAGAGACAGGAAAGCTCACGGGTTAGAGCACGAATCTACTGACCGGAAGGTCCGTGGTTCGAACCCGACCTCTGTCTCTCGACTTCTCCTGTCTAGGCTTGGGCAGCGTAGCAGTATCCCGGCCATCGTGCTTTCTTCGGTTGGTATGGCAGCTGG